TAAGTTTTTGATATGCTTTAATAAAAAAATAAAAATTAAACAGACAGATCATGTCATTCGAATTTAACAAAAGTTTTTCTGATTATCGCAAACCCAGGGTCACAAACAACTGAATATATATATATATATATATATATATATATATATATATATATATATATATATATATATATATAAAAAAAGACAAATATTAGTAGATAATGCCAAAATACTATACAACACTCATTGCAAGGAAAACTCAATATCCTAATAACCATTACTATACAAAAGAAACAATTCGTATAAAATAAAACATCTCTACAGGAGATGCTAACTTTAAGTGTGTATTAACTATTTAATATACGCATATAATAATAATAATAATAATAATAATAAAAAAAAATTGTACTCATAAGTACAGCCCTCACCTTACGAATGACTTTATCTATGTAAAATATGTGTGTATTTTTTTTACACTGCTCATTCGAAAATGTCATGATGTCATTTCTGACCTTAGGTTTCTATTTGGAACCCAGTAATAAATGATTATACATCAGAAACCAAAGGAAATAAAATAATAACAATTATTATTGCTACAAACTTTTTCGATGCTGTTTAGCCCGCTTTAACACATGCCGTCTGTTTGGACTTATTCAAATTTCAGCTCTGTGAATATGCTATGATGGGCCATTAAAATCTTCTACCACTCTGACAACAATCACTTCTTAATAACGAATAAAATTACTGAAAGTACTTGAACAAACCTGAACTTCAAACAATTTATCCACCATTTTGGATTCTGACGTGTAGTATTTTATTCGAAAATTGGAAAAAAAATTATTTACATTATTCGGACTATTGTCCTCATCTTTGTCGCCATATTTATCACAACGTTTCGGCCGTTGTACGCTCCGGCCTTCTTCAGGTGGTTGGAATGTCGAACTGAACCCTTTATTTCGCTCACTGGAGTAGACTGTTCTAGTTCCCCGTGCCATGTTTGATGGATGTCAGTTATCAGTTATCTCCTGCTAATTTCCCTCTGAAAGTTCTCCACTGCCTTAACCAGGTATTGAACTCACACTTTTTGGGTACTGTCACTAGATCTAACCAACGCCTTTATCCACTGCGCCATGTGTCCTTGAGGACACATGGCACAGTGAGCGAAATAAAGGGTTCAGTTCGAATTTCCAACCACCTGAAGAAGGCCGGAGCGTACAACAGCCGAAACGTTGTGATAAATATGGCGACAAAGATGAGGACAATAGTCCGAATAATGTAAATAATGTACATAATACCTCATCTCAGAAATATAGATAGACTTTGGAAAAAATGTATTTAAAAATTAAACAGGCAGATCTTTTCATTTGAATTCAACAAAAAATGTTTGGATGGATTACTGCTACCTAAATATACCTTATTAAAAATAAGAAAATAGTCGACATTTAGTGCAATATATATATGCGTCTAAGTAACTGTGCACATAATTTTGAAAATGGGAAATTCATTTCACTTAAATAGCACAACACTTGAAGTGGTTAATTAAGTTTCCCGTGTTGATTATATTTGACTGTTTTCAAAATATAGTTTTTGGTTTTTATGCGACTAATCTTTTACTTTCTCTATGCATTTAAAATAAAATAAGTGGTTACAAATGAATTAAATCAAACATGCCAAAATCAATATTGAACCAGTCAATGACGAACATATTTTAGCTGCAGAAGAATGATATTTATTAATGCGTTCTTAATAGCAAATCGTATTAGAACACATTTTAGTGTTAGAATAACTGCATAAAGAAAGTCAAAGAAACGCGTTACAGGATAAAAAAAAATATTATTACTATGCGAATCTGTTTTATGATGTCGTAAAATGTCCGTACTAATTTTGACAAAATTCTCAGAGAGACATGATATAAAAATTCCTTTTGGGCTTACTATAAAATGTTTTTAAAAAAAAGAACCTATGTATAAAGTTACCGAGGAATATCTTGGCAACTGGTATACTAAAATCGGAGTTTTGTTTGAAAGAGATTGCCACGTCGACATTAGGAAATATAGCAGAGCGGAAGACAGGAAACTTGTTTTATTGGTGATAAAAACTGATATTGATTTACTTGCCAAGTTATTAATTCAAAGTAAAGAGAAAAGGATGAATTTCTCCGTTTCAGTTTTTGCACTTTTTTTATAAGACTTTTTATAAGACTTTTATAAGCAAAGACTATATGTAAAGACTTTATAATTAAAAACATTTTATAAAACTTATAAATAAAGACTTTTTATAAGTAAAGACTTTTTATAAGACTTTTATAAGCAAAGACTATATGTAAAGACTTTATAATTAAAAACATTTTATAAAACTTATAAATAAAGACTTTTTATAAGTAAAGACTTTTTATAAGACTTTTATAAGCAAAGACTATATGTAAAGACTTCTTATAATTAAATACATTTTATAAGACTTATTATAAATAAAGACTTTTTATAAGTAAAGACTATATGTAAAGACTTTTTATAAGTAAAGACTGAATATTTAGTTGAAAACCAGTTTTTTGCTGGAAACTTCTAAAAACTACTAATATTTATCTCAGTATCTGTTTGGTGCCACTAATTAATATGCAGAGACCAGATAAAACACAGTATTTCAAATGCTGATTTTCAAAGTAGGCAAACTTTTTCTAAACACAATACCACATATCCTTTGCAAATACAACGCAATCCCCAAGTATTGAAATCGCACTATATCATTGCATGACTCACTTATGACATACAATATCAAGTAAAGCCTGTGCATAAAATTTTCGAAGTGGAGGAAGATGTTGCACTGAGCCAGTCTCATTCTCTAAGCAAGAACGTTAAGTACGCAAAAAGAAGAATTATTCTACATCACAGGATTATGCTGTGCTAGACGACCGTTGATCCCATTGAAAAACTTATCCAACCTTTGGCAGGTCTTGCTTTTTATTCTACTATGTATCTAGCTACCCTTCTCACTACAGAAGCCTGGTGGGGAACCAGTCTAGTCGCTGATAACCCGACCATCCGGCAGGTAGTACTGGATTACATAGTACCAGTAGCAGAGCAGTCAGAGTAAAAAAAAACGTACTTGAATACATCTATCTATCTATCTACCTATCCATCTATCTATCTGTCTATCTGTCTATATATATATATATATATATATATATATATATATATATATATATATAGAGAGAGAGAGAGAGAGAGAGAGAGAGAGAGAGAGAGAGAGAGAGAGACAGAGACAGAGAGAGTCACATCCAAAAGTATTGAAACGGCAAGGCCAATTCCTTTGTTTTTCCTGTTCACTGAAGACATTTGGCTTTAAGATCAAAATATGAATATGAGAGTACACACACACACATACACACACACATATATATATATATATATAGGTTATTTTTTATAAATACAATGTATTTAAGTAAATACTCTGTTTTTAATTAAACAGTATTAATCACATTCACCGGCCTGAATGTTCGAGAAACTTTGTAGAAAATATGTTCTCTGACATGAATCGAACCTGTATTCCTATACGGAAACCGTCATTTGACCTGACGTGCTGTACCATTCAATTATAGAGAAGCATCTGGTTAGCAATGTCCGAATTACTGTTTATAAGTACACAATCTTTATAAACAGTAATTCCGATTTGCTAACCAGACGATCTGCTGAAACAATTTGTAATATCAACAGATCTTGTCGGCGAGGCTGGAGTCAGTTTCAGAATGAACTGCAAATCGTTGTCTCTCTCATAAAAAAAGCATAGATTCTAATTATCTATACCTCCAAGCTGAGCCCGCTCTTAACTGATAATGAAGAACTACGCAAAACCTGTCGGTTGTGGTCAAGAATTGGCCGGCTGCATCCCCGTACAGAGGAGGTAAAGTCTAAAAATAGGAAAATTTGGTGCCACTAGATTACTGTATTTACGTTTTTATTTTTTTAGTCTTGTGCGCAATGAATTGTTTCCAACCCTTTTTCCTGAGGCGATATCGCTACTCGATCGCTATTTCCATGGCAAATGTTCAGACGCACTAAATTCCTTAGTTCTGCCAGTATTACGGCTAGAACCAGCCAATTGTCCTTATTTCTTCGTATTTCATTTGTAAGAAGGAAGTTCCACTCAGGCATCTCCTTCCTGAGAACCGCTACTTCTTGAACAGAAGCCTGAAAAGGAGCTTCGTTAACTACAACCTTAATCACTTCGTCTAGCGTCAATCGTTATCTAGCGTACTTGTCTTCATAATCTTCACTCCATTCTAGTACGTCCATACAACAGCCTCTTTCTGTGATCCTCTGCATTGAGTAACTCTTGGGCCTTATATTAGTCGGAGATTTAGTAAAAAAAACTTTCGAACTCCCATGAAAACCACATGTATATTTTTTGCATCTCGTGCAAACAAAACTAATGTTTACATTTTTACTCACGTGCAAACTAACCTATGTTTACCTTTTAACTCCCTTGCAAAGCAAACCTATGTTTATTAATCCATTGTTTCTCAAAACGACAGAATTCAGCATTAAATAACCCGGAAAAGATTCAGTCAGTTATGTGCCATACGTGATACACGCTTAGGCGATCATGTATCTTTCGATACGAGGCAGACTTTTTCCTACAGTAGGTTGCCATCTTTTTCTGCGGTAGTCCAGTTGCTATCCAAGACTATAGAACCCGGTCTACTTATCCATAACTGGGGGGAGAAGAAGAGAATTCATACCATTCCGAAGGGTATTAGCACGTAAGTGGATGTAATGGATTGGACTGGAATTCTAACTCGGCTCTCCGATTCGATTATCTATCTATCTATCTATCTATCTATCTATCTATCTATCTATCTATCTATCAGCCAGAGCCGCTATCCATTCCTCCAACGTGCCTCCGGAAAAGATTAATATGTCTTAAACCAAACCAAAGAAAACCAAACACCAGATTTAAAAAAAAAAAAAGAAAAAAAAAAGACACTCATTGTTCTGGTCGAGAAATCGGGGGTTAAAGTGAAAAACAAATAGATCATCTGAGATAAAGAAAGAGAAAGGAATACAGTCAAACCGTGATTGTGTGTGTGAGATAGATAGATAGATAGATAGATAGCATAAACAGAAGCAGAGAGACAAGTATGAATTATCTGCATTCTACTATTGCTTGTTGGGATTTGAACTCTTAGCTTGAAGATCTCGGGGATTAAAACCTCAAAGAAGTAACTAGCTAGACAGACAGATAGATAGATAGATAGATAGATAGAGAGAGAGAGAGAGAGAGAGAGAGAGAGAGAGACGGGAAGGGTAATATATATGAGCAGGTTATGAAAGAAAGAAATTGACCGAGAAAGTGACATACATACATAATGGCCTGCTACTCTTTTCCGAGCACTCCAATCTGCGAGGGCTGATAGCTAATCCCTGTTGCAGACACCTTCTCAGGCACAGTTATGTATGTTCAACATCCACTGAGCCCACCTGTTTTTTAAACTGAAACCATGCTGAGCAGACCTTAGTTACAGTTTTGGGGAGTTCAATTTGGACAAGATCAATCCACTGAAACTTTCAGTCACGATGACTTGTGACTTCGTGCTAGCACAACCGTCTATGGCTCCCGAACGTTTCCGGCTACCCACTAGACTTGGGTCAACCCGTGGTTTGGTTTTCAGGTTTTGTTTCAAAGCTGTTGCATGCTGGGATCGTCTCCGCAGGCCGATAGCACCAAGAAATCACCTTCCTAACAAACTGACTATGGTGAGATTCAAACCCGGGTTTCATAGTCGGAATGCGAACGTTCTAACTACTTATCCACACGCCCACGTGCATACATACAGACATACAGACATACAGACAAGCATAAATTATTAGCATTATTACTATTGCTCTTTGGGACCATTGTTTAAAACTTACGGACTGTTTATGCTTGGAGATAACCGCGGGTAAATGAAACCGTGATACTGAGCATAAGAAGAAATTTATTTATATTTTTTGAAAAGAACTAACCTCCTCCTTGGGTTTATCATTTGTGAAAAAATATTTCTTTGTTTTATACACTCGATCTCCAGGGGTGTGGGTGTTGAAAAATTCACGATCCTATTTCACAAAATGACCAAACATTTTTTTTAAAAATTGCTTCTTAATCAAGCCTGAGAATATTTTTTGTATCATCTCCAGGTATATAAATTTACTTCAAGAAAATAAATTAAGTGGTGTTATTTAAGATTTCACATTCATCGCTTCGACTTTAAGTTATTAACCTAATCTGCTTATTTTTGTTTTAAGGCAATCATTGTCTCGAGTGAATCAAATCAGAATAAAAGCAATAAATAACAAATAAAAGCGATTAACGGAGAAATGGATTGTTTAACGACAATGCATAAAAAAGGAATAAAAGAAAGAATGTAATTTGTTTTTCATCTGCATAATTGCTCATGTCTGATACCAAAGTCGAGAAGAAACAAAGATTTCCTTTTGTGATAGAACTGAACACTTTCTCCGACTCTGAGATAACTTTTTGTTTTTTTCTAAAATTATTCATGCTCAACATCGAAGACATTTAATTAATTCGAAACATTTGATGAATACAGTTTTTGTTGAAGCAGAAATGGTCGAAGCTATGTCGCTGTCAATTATCCTTTATAGAATTTCGATTGGAGATATCACAGGAGAATCGTTATGTGCATTTTTCTCTCTCCAGAAAAAAGGTTAGCCTAAAGCTGTGCGCATTTTTATTTATTATCCCCAAGCTAAATAACGTTTTTTTTTTTAGTTAGTGTCTGAGTTAACCATTTGAGAAGTTTAGATTTTTTAGAAAGACTAACTTCCGAAACCAGCTCAAAGGGAGCTTTTTCCCGAAAAGTTATTCACACACCGTAATTATCGAATTAAAAAAAGAGGAAGTGCATTGCATCCAGTGAGATGGTATTATAAAAAGGAGGCTGGGGGCGAAACGTGGGGACGAGGGATGAATTATGGGAAAAAAAAAGAAAAGAAACACGAAGTCAGACAAAAACAAAAACAACTTGCCCTTGATATTTCTCAAGTTCTGCGAAGTTAGGTATATATATTATTTCTCTTGTTAATTTTCATAATTGATCGGTACTTTAGTCAATGAAATCGCTAAAGTTTCTTAATGTCTCAGTTATCCATGTACAGTAATCAATGCTAAAAAAGGGTAAAGAGCATACACAATACACTCGTGTGACAAAACCAGTATAAATACAAGGCTTTAGAGAAATTATTTGAGATCGAACTCAGTACCACCAACAATCTTCAAAGCCAGTATACTCAACGCCATAACTGATTCTAAGTAACGCTTTACATAAAGCAAATAAAGCCGCTTAGACGTAAATGTTATTATAACGGAACTGTTCATTATAGTGAGTCAATATCAATTTTTTGCATTTTTTTAAAAACTGAAGATGTACAATAAACGACACAGATTTGTTTTGTATAATCATAAGCTTAAATCAAAATAAAAAAACAAGGTTTCAATTTTATTTTATGTCCACAGTCTAAAATGTAATTTCTTCGATGGATTAGGTCATTATCAAATAATTGCTAATTTCTTTATTTTGTATTTCTTAATGATTTTTTTCATTGTTTTTAATAATAAAATCCCACGCACTAACACACGTAACACACGTGTCTGCCAAGCGAATAAAATAAAACTTTCAGAAAAGGGTTCCTACTTTAGATTAAGTAACTCTATTAAATCGCTGAAAAAAGCATACCATGATGAAAAAATTCCACAAACTTCATAAAAACAAATTTTTGTCGTAAAATTTTTAAAGTTATTTTTAAGAGAAAGACCAAAGTATTTAAATTTTTTTTTAAATATTTTACTCCTTTCTAACACATTCGAAATTTGTTAAAAAATTGTTTTTTTTTGTGTGTTGACAGTGAAACAGAGCTGGTAATGGACATGTAATATAACACATTAATGGTAAAATAACACATCAATTTTGAAACTCTTGCAAAAAATCAAATTATTGTCAGATTTTAATGAAACTTTCAGGACTTATTCACAAATGAATGAATTTATTTTTGAAATTATCATTTTTTTACATGTTAACGCTTCTTTACTTAATTTCATAAAATTTTCAAGAATTTAAAATCGCCAACGAAATATTTTATTAGTTAAAAGCAGGTTTCCTTGGAGAGTGTAAATCATCAATTTTTTTCAAACTATTACCTATTATTAAGTTTCCTAAAATCTGCCCCAAATCGCAAAATAAAAATTGCAATAAAATTATCTAATTATTTAATTAGATAAGTTTTTAATTGCTTTTATAAATAACATATATTAAGGATATTATAACTTGAAGAAATAAATTACGATGAATAATGAAATTTTACAAGAAATTTTTGCGTTTTCTTTTTTTAATTATAAAGTTTCAAAAATGTTTTAAAATTCATTCAAGCATCTTCAAAGTTAGGTTATTAAGTGAAGACTATATTTACTAATCGAAAATTGAAAAGCTTAATACAAATCATCCTACCCAAATTTTTTACAATAATTAAAAATAATTTTTGCGTGTCTAAATGTTCTTTTTCTTTAAGGATGGAACATGATTGTTAAAAGGTCACGTTTTACAAGGGTTGTCTCCCTTACGCCCATAAACCATTTAGTTTTACTTATATAAGAAAAATAATGTTTTTATTTAGTTTTTAATTTTTAAAAATTTCTTTATTCTTTTTTGTTAGTTATATTTTGATAAAAAAAAAACGTTTGAAATGTAACCCTTTATTTTATTTTAAACCTAATGTTTAGTTTAATTATTTTTATACTTTATTTCATTTACATTTGAAATTAATTTTCTTTTCTCATTTTATTTTTAATTGTGGTTGTTACCGCCACTAATTCTCGATACCTAACATTTAAAAATGAATTTACAAAATAAAAATAAAAAAAAACAAGCTTTCATTTTAGCTTTAACTGAAATCTAAATGACTAAAAATATTTTTTTTTACTATTTCCAGTAAGCAAAATACTCCGGTGTACTTCAAACGGAAATTATATATTGGTTAGAATGTTTTTTGTAGTTTTTTGTCAGTAAAAAAGCGATAAAAAATCTTGACATTTTTTCGTTTTAAAAAAAATTGTAAAATACAATATATTTTCTGAAACGTTGCTTGAGGAAAATTAGCAAATTTAAAGTTAATTAACCTGATTTGAAACAAAAATTGAAATGTGTACACCGCTGACGTAAAAAATTTTGAACGTGCTAGAAAGGATTAAAAAATTACTGGTAACTGAATAATTTATGAAATGTTATTAATTTAAGAGATATTTATTGCATTCTGAATTTTGTTATATTTTCAGAAAGCATCTTCAATCGTAATATTAAGTACCCAAAAATCAACAAAATATTAAATAACTGCTTAAAATATTTTGTTAATTTTTAAAAATTGCCTGGTAGTTAAAAAACAAAAACAAACCGTTTTTACTTAGAATTCGTAAATTTATGTCAATTCTTGTTCACCATACTTAACTTGACATCACTGGCTGTCAGTATATCGATGCTTGTATAGAAAATTTTACGCTATAAGTAAGTAATATGTGTTTCAGAACAGATTATTTTTACTTTAAATTTGCTAATTTTCCGTTTCAGAAATATATATTTTATTTTTGCAAGATTTTTAAAACCGAGAATTAAGTTTTGTTTACAGTCTGTAAAAAAAAAGATAGAAAAAGAAAAATGGTCGTTTCTATTGGTTTTTCTAAAAAAATGATTTGATTAAAATCATTCTAATTTTTAGTAGAAATACAACACAGTATTTTGCTTTCCGAAATCAGAAAATTTAATCATTTAGCTTTCAATTGAGGCTAAAAAGAAAACTTCAAGAAAGGTTTTTAATTTATGAAAATACATTTAAACCTTAGGTACACCGAATTTTTGATTGTACGAGAACCGGCATTCCACGTGATATAGCCGTAAGCATATTATGCAAGAAGGAGTAAGAAAAGTGGAGGAGAAAGTGGGAAGAACAAGGTTTGAAGAAGGAAATGTAGGAGGTTAAAAATTGCGGTACATTAAAATTATTTATGGAAAGATAGAAAAAAGAACGATAAAAGGGAGGTTTCAGCGGAAATATTTCTGCATTCTTTAATCCTTTTTAGCAAGAGAAACTAATTTATGTTTGTATAATATTTAGATAAAATACAAATGAGCAATAAAGGTTGAAAGGGATAAGGAAGAGAATTAGAAGACACAGTAAACGTTGAAAGGAAAACAGTGCTATGAGATAATCGGTAATGTTTGCACTCGAGAAATTTCTTCAACTATTTATTGTTGTTTCTGGCATTCTAAATTTGTTTTTTATACAAAAATAAAATAAAATAAAAAAACAAACT